GCCAATGCTTAGATTTAATTAACAAAATATCCGCAGGGAAACTTCATCGATCAAGGTGAATGACATAGCTTCTCAGATCGCCGAGAATGTTGCATCAGCTGTGGAAGCCTCTAATTCCTTGCCAGCAGATTGTAGAGCTGTCCAGTTCCGTTACAACCGGCAGACTCCAAAACGTAGACGATTGATGGAGCCAGTTGATTCCTTGCCTCCCTTATCTGATAGTGCAAGTACTTCCCGTGGCGGAGTATTTACTGCACAAAGCATTATTTCCACAGAGCAAAGGAAAACAGAATTCAGTGAGCATAATAGTGTTGCAAGTGATTTAGGTGATGGGCCTGCTTCTCTGTCCAAGATGGTTGCAGTACTTTGTGAACAACACTTGTTTTTGCCTTTGCTAAGGTCTTTTGAAATGTTCCTTCCTTCATGTGCTTTATTGCCTTTCATCCGTGCTCTTCAGGTTTGTTACAGTGCTTTAAACCCTGATTTCCTTTCATATTAATGGATTTTAAGCTGGGAGATAATGCATGCTCTCTATTATCTCTTGATTTTCCATTTCGATGGAATAAGTTAACCACCTGTCCTCTGAGGAACTCTCTTGGAATTATGTTTATCCTAATATTTTCTAGAGGCAGGCAGCAAGTTCTATTTCTGCTTCTTCTTCGGCCAAGACAACATATGATTGCCAAATCGTAAATTTAAATAAAAATGATTATTTAGAAAAGTGGAATTTGCACCAATATGGGGATTTTGCTGTTTCATCTTATCAAATTATTTTTACCGATATTTCCATTTAATATTGGTTGGGAAGTGCACACTACATGCAGTTAGGGTAACTGGTATATAAGTAATATAGTCTCTCATGTAACTAATTATATTTTCTTTTCTTAGACGTATGAAACTGTGTATATATATTTTTTGAAATAAATTTAACTGTGTATATATGGCCCTATATTCAATTAAAAACATAATATTTGTTCTTTTAAACGGTATTAGAGTTTCAGGAAAAATATTCTAATTCTTTTACAAACCCTAATGGGTGTTCATTGCCGAAATAAGAAAAATACAAAAACCCTAAACATGGGTCAGCCTTCATGGCCTGGCACCACTATCATCACCGTCGTCCTTTATAGCTGGTCACTAGAGGAAGCCAAATTGCTTACACTAGTAGCTATGCACTGGCAAAAGCGCCTCATAGCAGCCGTGAGACCAACCTCTTCCACCCGGGTAGCCACACGCACCAGCTACACAGCCACCTGCAGCTCTGCACACCAACCAGTCACACCTGCCTCCAATCATATCTGCCTCCCAACTGTCTCTGCTAATCCAACCGCACATTCCAGTTGTGTGTCTGCATCCAGCCAAGCACTAGCCACATCGTGCATCCCTCCAGCCGTGCCTTTGTTACATAGCTGCCCGGTTTTAATGGCCCTGAGAATTTTAAATTATGTTAGCTGTTACATTTCAAGTTACTGATGCAAATCCAGAATGGAAAAT